ATGATAGGATAATTTCTAACTATTTTTGTTAACTTTTTTTATAAAGTTTTTTTATAAATCATTCTTTTTGAGCCAAACAATTCTACAAACTTATAGTAAAGTTTTTTCGCACTGCTAGAAAGAAACGCACAAAGATCGGTTTACATTATCCGCATAAATGTGAAGCAATAGTGATGCGATTTCATTCAAACAAACATTATTATATGCGGTTCATAATACATGTTTATTTTTAGGAATAAATCAAGGTTCGAGAGAATATTAATGAAATGTATATTAAAGTGAAATATTAAAAATCTGTAGACAAGTATAGAATATTTAATATGTGACGAATCTAATAATATTTTTTTATATCATAAAAATATCATAAAAATGATTTAAAAATTACATAAAATTTGTATATTTGTATTTCTATATTATCAACTACATAATAATTATAAAATTTTCTATAAAAATAATCATACATAAAAGTATATAAGACTGTGGCGATCCTCCAAAAGTTATTTTATGATTTCTTCGGAGTTCGCGAATTCACCGGGAAACATTGATATCATAGATATATAGTATAGATGATATTTGCAGATGAATTTTCTGCAAAAAAGAAAGAAAGATAGCTTTTCACGTGGAACAGGTCAGGAAGAGAGAGAATGTCGATGTACGGTATATTTATTTTGGTCGAAATACTGTTCGCATGATGTCATCATCGATTTTCAAGATTAGCTCGCGACTTGATTCTAGTTTCGAGATTGTCTGTAGATTTCTGAAACGAAGTGACAACGTAATTTGAGGAACAAGAGGAATTCGTCTCACAGATTAAAGAATAGCTTGTTTCGCGTCTTATTTTTTTTACTTTCTTTATACTTACTTTTTTTATTTTCTTTTCTTTATTAAAATATATATACGTAATATGCATATATTTTTATATGTATTTAAAGTATTTTATGACATAAATATGACGTATCTAAGAAGAAAAACATGAAAAGATTCTACGTGAAAAAAATCAATCATGATACATATGTAAAATAAAATTCTTTCATTCGAAATTTTTGAATTTGAAAAGTCATCAAATAAATAATGAATTTTATTAATTTTCAATCAAAAATTTAAAATTATAAAAGAAAAGTTTACGGTTTATCACTGTAAATGCATTTCGCAATGATAAATTTTTATCACTATTAATTCTTAATCGCTAAAGGATTAAGAAAATTAAGTTATGTAATTTATATTTCAATATATATATTTTATATAATAATATTTTGAATGATGAGTATATCGAGGTCATAAAAATAATTTTTATTCAATTATATTTTTTCGATATTATTTTAATTATATTTATTATATTTATTTTTTTGAAATTATATTTATAAATATTAAATTGTCTCTAAAATTCTCTTTTTTTTTTCTATTATATTATAAATTTCTTATATTTTTCTTTCATAATTTTGTACATGTAAATAATGAAAATAATTNAATAATTATAGAAATATAATTGTATACGATTATTTAATATAATATATATTATATATATTAATATATTATATATATAATATAATATTATTTAATAATATATAATTATAGAAATATAATTGTATTGTAAACGTGATTCAAATGTTAAAGAG